TTGATGTTATTTTAATGAATTATTATTTATAAACAACGTTTAAAACCGCAACCGTCTTTTCCTAAATCAATTTGTTATTTTCACCCCGTCTGTCGCTACGCCGTAGCACACAGTAGCCGGCGTAGGCCGTAGCACAAGAAGCTTTATTTTTTTAAATAGCCAACTTTTCTTGCTTTATTAATTTTTATACTTATTGTACATATGTCATAAGGTTTAGTGTTCTTAATTACTATCAAATTGTATAACGTTAAGACTTAGTATTGTTTTGTGTCAATGCAATTATTTTATAGTTTTTTATTGGTGCGTGGTAGACACATCCCGCATTGGTGATACACGAGTAGAGTAGTTCCCGACGCACGCTACACATGCCACCAATACTGGAGCAGTCAATGACTCGTCCCTCAGGTTATGTGGATAAACGTTTAGCTGCTCACTTAAACGTCCGCAGTACATTCCGTTTATTACTCGCCATCAAAACAGTTAATAATCAATTTATCAAGCGACTGTCTCCAGCGTGGTACATGCACACATACACACAAACGCACACACAGGTTGTAGAACTTGTACCTAGTAAATAAAATAATTTATTTATTTTAAATAGTTATAAAAAAACAACACTTTAATGAAGAACACATTTAAGTACGCATTGACAGTAAGGCTGGTAAACTAATAAAGTAATGAAGTACTTAAGTATATTTGTGAACGAGCCATTCAAGTTGGGAGTGTTATCACAGCAGTAACAAGGAAACTTCACATCAGATAGGTCGAGTTATCAAGTGAGTGCGGCGGTGCGGCGGGACGCAGGTTCAATCTGTGCGATGTGTATCACCGGCCGGTGCTCGGCAGTGATTTATACGAACTGTTAATCCTACTATTTACTAGTTTTAGTAGAAGGTAAAGAGGCAGTTTTTCCGTGGACCCTTCGCCCTGGCCGGTCCGCTCCAAGTCAAGAGCGGTAGCAACTTAACTTAAAGCAACAGCGATATTTTACGTTACTATAATATCCAGTACATAACCTAACCTAACTTACTCGTTTACAGAACAAATTACTTTTCTTTGAGTTCATATAGAACACCCTCACCACTAGTATCAAGGTTTTTACGAATGTTATTGAATTTCTTGTACATTTTTGACTATACCATTGTTTACAGTTTTGTTCCCGAGGAAAGCGGATATGACGCACAACTTATGTAGGTACGGTAAGTTGATAATTATTCCAGCTAGTGGTCAGCAATCATAATAATTTCACGTTTTCCTTACCTTTATAAGGTAATGTCGATCCCGCGTGTTATTTTCATGTTTCATTTGTAGCTTATCACTTCCTACGTTTTATAAATATTTTCGTGGTCATGATACGCGTGAAATTCATTACTTAGGTACGCAATCGAATAATTCATTTTGTAGTATGAATTCGATTAGCATTTTATACAACTAAACAATTATTAAAACCTTGAAGTTTAACAAGCAACATACCAACTTTCAGAAAATTTCTTTACTTAGAGTACTCGTGTAATATTTCGCTCCTCGCCTGGCTTGCACCAACACCTGGGTAAGAACAGTTATCAGTCAGTGCGTGTGATATATGTCGCTCGGGAGGTCCGGGAGGACGGAGGATGCCGGACGCACGCCCGGCTAATTATCTGATACCTCTTGTTGTGATACATGCGATCAGGAAAGAGCTTCAAACAAACCTATTAGCAATCGAATTACACAAAGAAACGTAATAATGTTTTGTTTAATTTCCGAAGAGAACACACTATTCTGTATATCTACATATTTTCTTACGTTTCCATTGTTTTCTACTTGGTTAAAATGTGTAAGCAGTAAGTAAATGCATCAGATACATCACAAAAACTTTAACTCGTATTTCTTTGATATAATGAGCAGTCATTCAAATTCAATCTGTAAATAATTTTAATAAAAATCTAATTGTTTAAAAATAAACAACCAATAGACAACGCAATACTTACAATTGTATGAAAGCTACTTAAAGTATCACCGTGCCGACCACGGTACAATTACTCGGAGATCACTTACCATCTAAGAAGGCATTCCTTGTTATTTTTCCCCTGGCTTTGTTCTGTGCCCGGATGGGGGCAACGAGCCCGTACTATGAAAACAACGTCAGAAAACAAACTCGACGACAAACCATAGAAATGCAAACAATTTGATCGTATCAGTTAGTGTTTTGTTAATAATTAGTGGCTTGATATTTACTGGTCATTGTATTAAAAGCTCTCGATCAGAATGTATTCATCTCGTGTTGGTATTAACATTTCAGTGACTGTACCTTCTGTATTACGGCGCAATGTGTAAAGGGAGCGCAAGGGAGGCTCGTTAATTAGAAGGAGTATTTTATTAAGGCCAATTTGTCGGGAATACCTGCCTGATTGCCGAGGATTGTGAAGCAAGCGATTTGTTTGAATTTTTTAGCGCAATTCCTGGGGGGACTTGCACCGCGTTTTTTTGGCTATGTTCTTATTTAAACGCTCAATCCGATTAAAGGTAACTTGAACGTATACATATTTACGCAGATTTAAGTCACGTAAGAATCGAGGAAGGTAAGTTAGAAAATAACTGCACACGGAAAGTGGCACGATAGTGGTGTCAATTGGTAAATAGCTGGACTTTTACTCGTATCGCTGTGTACGTAGCGCATGATCCTGTATCCCCTAGGTTTCTAGGAAGTCCTGTCCTGTGTTAGTTTCGGCACATTACCGCAACTAATTGTATTTTGCAGCATTCTGTTTCCTGTGTCTAATTAAAACGTAATGTTATGTTTTTGTAGCAGCGAATGTGTTATCAGTGCGATACGTACCTATTGACATACATTAATTGTATCATTTGGTCAAAACTAAATGACCACAATTTACCTATTGCCGGTTGTTATAATTTTGTTTATCTGGCCGAGTACCACCTTGTTAGTACTTGTGGGACCGCTGGGTTCAATGTTATAAATAAACTGAGTGCATTAATCTGCTTACTAATAGTAATGAGTAACCTGGTACACTCATACACCGTTTATAAACAACTTATATTTTAATGTTGAATTTAATTTTACAATTATGTAATACACAGACTGCTGAATACTATACCTGTTTTTTATGTACCTACAATTGTGTATACACATATATATTATGTATAAACATAGCTAGTAGTTAAATGTGTCGTTGTCACAAGTTGGAATCTAATGCGTCTCCAACTTACTGCTATAGCTATAAATAGCGTATGTAAGGAGGTGAATCATGCGCGCGCGCCGTTCCCACGTCTGCGCGTGGGCAATTGGTCGAATTGACCGGTATGCGACGCCGGCCCGGTTGACCCCGCCGAACCGTTAATTGTCGTCCACCTAAGTGATGATGTGTGGACCCCACGCTAAATCATAAAGTGTCTCTTTGTATCGCTCATCAAGACGTGAACACATACAACAACACTAGACTTATTGTAGGTACTTTTTAAAATTCTTAGTATGTATGTAGTAGGTACATTATTTTATGGTCCTTTGCTATCATCGTCGTTAATAGAAGTCAAGGTTTATTACAATGAAGTAAGGTTACTCACATCGAGAATAAGAGAAGTTTATCGTTTCAGAAGTTAGTATCCAGTTATTTATTTGTAAAATATTTCCTAATTTATTTTGTACTCAGGTACCATGGCCATACATATGTACATATAAAAGTATGTTAAAATCTTTGAGGTTATTTAGAGATGAGATCATTAACTTATCTGTTATGTCTGTCATCATTAAATTCAAGCTACGTGATTAATAATCGTGTTCCCTTCAGTTTCAGTTGCTCTATCGCGTTGTACAGGATTATGGTTTAACTGACCACGTTATAATTGCAGTAAACAAACACGGACCTACGTGACCTAGGCCGAGGGTATGACATCATATACACTAAGCTGCCTAGTTACTAGTTTTATTATCTATGTACTATTCATAATTTCCCATTGACTCAGATTTCCCAATCATATCGCATTTTTAACTCTTATGGGGTTGCGTTCCTGGGTCTCGTCCTCGACAGCCGATGGAACTTCACGGAGCATTTTCGTCGTTTGGCCCCTAAGTTGGAACGGTCTGGGGCCGCGCTCAAGCGGCTCCTTCCCAACCTCGGGGGGCCAAACGCCTCCTGCCGGAGGTTGTATATGGGGATTGTGCGATCCATGGCCCTCTACGGTGCCCCTGTGTGGGCGCCGGACTTGAAGCGGCGGCCGGCTCGTACGCTGGTCGCGTCCCAGAGGGTCATGGCTATACGAGTAATCCGCGGGTATCGCACGATCTCCGGGGAGGCGGCGAACCTCCTTGCCGGATCACCGCCGTGGGATCTAGAAGCGAAGGCGCTCGCGCGCGTCTACAGTTTGCGCGCAGACGCGCGTCGCCGGGGCGAAGATCCTCTGCCGCGCCAAATAAGTGCGTGGCGGAATGAGCTCCGGCGAGATCTCATGGCAGAGTGGAGACAACGACTGTCGCAACCGAGGGCCGGGCACGCTACCATAGCAGCGGTAAGACCCCTCTTTGAGGAGTGGCTTGAGAGACGCCACGGCGTCCTCACCTTCCGTCTGACGCAGGTGCTTACCGGGCACGGCAGCTTCGGTAGGTTCCTGTTTCGGATTCAGCGGGAGGAAACGCCCGAGTGTCGTCATTGTGAGGACCACCTAGAGGATACGGTGGAGCATACGGTAGCGGTATGCCCTGCCTGGGCTGAGCACCGCCGTATCCTCAGGGAAGTGATCGGCGGCGGCGACCTCTCGCGCCCGGCCTTAGTCGAGGCCATGGTGCGGAGTGAGAGGAACTGGGACGCCGTCTCCTCCTTTTGTGAAGCAGTCATGCTCGCAAAGAGAGAGGCGGCCCGCGTGAGGGAGCAATCCTCCTCCTCACGCCCCAGCAGCCGCAACTGGCGACACTACGGGCGTCGGGGATCGAGGGACGATCTCCGGCCACCGTAAGTACGGGCCTGCGGTCGGCGAGTAAGGGCAGCTCGCCGCCCGACCAGAACCAGGCCCGAGCGTACGGCGCGTAGCGTTCCGCACGCGCCTCAAAGAGCCAATAGACCACCACAGACGGGGCCCTAAAGGGCTGATGTTCAGCCGGGGTTGCGGGGTAAGCGCAATGAGGTACCGCGACCTCGGCACAGAGCAGGAGAAGGAACAGGGGGGTTTTTAGTCAGTAAGAGTCTGACACTCCCTCCTGCCCGGCCCTGGGCGGGAGAAGTCATTTGATGATTTTCCCCTCACAAAAAAAAAAAAAGAAAATATTGCTACCCATGTGGTGTAAAAAAAGAACAAAATATGGACGTACGAGTCCATATTTTGTTGCTGTAAATAGGATTAAGATTCTATACGAAATACCTGCTCACTTATAGCAATTATTCTTTGTGTAACATTTTATGGCTATTTCATTTAATTATATTTAAAATGTTTTAAGTACACGGTGTTAGTACAAAGTGCGTTGTTCACTTCACAGATAGCGCGGCAGGACGACACTACATGTGACTCATACACATGATACAAACACTTACATTAATTCTAATATTTGTTTTGTTTCGCAGTTTAATGGACGGGCCGCCTTCTTATTACACATGTTTAGTTTTGATCAGTAGATTAGATACATTGTTCAAGAAATACAGACCAACTTTTTGTTTCCGTAAAGAGTTTCCATGCGATACTAAACATTATATACTACCTAACGATTAATTGTATATTTCCATGCCAATTAACATTATTCTAATGAATAACGTAAGCATTTTACCTGTAGGTATACCTGCGATATTATTATTATTAATTGCAAATTGAATTTAATTAATTCCATTCAGCTACAAATATGTGTACTGTATTTTCAGGTTATCAATATTACACTTACGTACGTATGTAGGACCCACGTCATTTGCTATCGAGGTGTGCAGTACTTACGTGTACAGGTATACATGACGTGGGTTACAATTAGTTTACTTTAATTAAAGTGACGTGGTGGTCCGGAGATTAAGGCGCCTGCTTCTCATGCGTTGCAAGTACCAATGTGATTTTTTCCAAGTTATATGTACGTTCTCTGATTATTAAGATTACATTGACATACGGTGAGGGGAAACATCGTGAGAAAACCTGAACTTATAATTTCTAATTATTATAAGTTTGAAATCGCTAATGCACCTTGAGCGAGCGTGGTTATAATGCTCAAACCTTCTCTATTTGAGAAGAGGCCTTTGCTCAGCAGTGGGCACTTATATGATGTGATGGGTGATTAAAGTGTTAACTCATATTTCCTAGTACTATAGATATGTATTTGACATTATGATACTATCCCTCCTGGTTATATAGCTCGGAGCGGACGACAGCCGCAAGGTGCGCGTTCGTTGTCTCAATTGAGTCCGTCTCAAGTGGGTGTCATCTTAATGGGTCGCGTCGCGTGTGTACTCCTCTTTATTGCTTAGCATCTAATGCGGCCGTGTTTAGATCATTAACATCGGCCATGCGTGTGTGCGTGAGTTTTTATGAAGCGATGGCCGCCTGCGCCGCGACCCGTGGAATGCAATGACCGATGGCTGTCGTCAATTGAAACGCTACAGAGAAATGCCCCGGCCTGAATTATTTAATTACGACGTAGCGTTGTCATTGCTCTTATATACCTGGTTATTATAACAAACCAATAAGACTTACTGTTGTGTTGTTATTTCTCTACCTAGAATACACATATTTATTAGATTAGAAAGTTATTTGATAAGTTATATTAATCATGTACTGGATTTTTTACTTAAAAGTGATGATTTTGAATTGCTCTGTGTATAGCAGCATATTTTGATTGTGGAGATAAACAAAATATGTCACAAGAACGCGACTAACGTACAACAACACAGACTAATTTACTAGTTATGGCATTCGTGTATTTTCTTTGTAATCTTAAGATTTGAGTATAATATTATGAATTTGTATTAGGTTTATATTTTACCTAGATGTATATATGTACCTCGAAACGGTTGCCATAGTGTTTTATTTTATCAGAAATAAAATTTTGTGTACCTACTTAGCTTGACTAAGTATTTGTGTATACAAAAATCTTCACGTTTATCGCATTTCCTTCACCCAAGCAATAGTTCAGGTGTGTCCAGTACTGTGTTGTGTGTAGGTGTCGGTATTTGGAATCGGTGTGAGTTACAGATGTGTGCCACCTCGCGGTAATGAGCGTGTGATGTGATTCACAGGCAGGCGGACCATGTGCGGCCTCGATGTACAAACACAGAGTAGCTGGCGCAGACGTGACGTGACGGCTCAACTACAAGGATCTTTCTTTATTATACCAAGTATAAGAAGACCATGTTATACATGAACTGTTTTAACTCTGACATGCGAGCTGTTACATTTTAACAGGTCTCAAAACGGAAATATGTATATATCAAGGTGTGAACAGAAGGATAGGTAGTGGGTGACCTATTTAACCAAACATTATTATGTTTACTTAGCTTTAATAAATAGTCATTGCAATGTTTATAAGACGCTGCTGTCTTAAATTCTTTATCATAACGTAATTATTCTTGTTGTTTTGACTTCGTTACCTGTTATGGTAATGCATGATTTTGTAAAATTATTAATTGATGATCATCATCTCCTTTAACTTCCTGTATGTCGGCTCATTGCCTATCACGTAGGTACATTTCTGTACTACCTGAATAAGTCCTTCGATATACATTTGTATTTCACATCCAGATGCCATGCAGCATGCTGCGCAGTGTCTCCTCTGCGCCACCGCAGCAGGCGGCTGGTCACTGTGGCGCACTCGTGAGAACGGCGCGCATGTGTCGTACACACTCTTATTGGCGCACATACTTTTTAATTACCTCTACATCATTTAGGTACATCCACCACACAGACGCACACAGAAGATTCAGTCGAAAGAAAGTAACAAAAAGGGTAGTCTTTGTAGCTTACAGCTTCCACAGGATGTTGTAAGCCATATCTGTTGTCAAGAAGAATAATCTAAATACTTACTTTAAGTATTCTGAGCCTCTCTTTAAAAAAGTTTATCGTCATCAGATATTTTTTTAGACTTTCGTCATGGATAACTTAAGCGTGTCATCTTCATGTGCTAGATTCGTACTATGTGTGGAAGATCCATGTTTCGACTCGGATAGGCCAGCTCGACCGGCGTGAGACCACGGCCTCAGAGGAAATTGGCGTAAAGCAGCCCTTATATTGTGTTTCACCATGAGAGTAAGATGCAGGAGGCAAAATCCTTCTCGATCCTCAAATCCCTAATGACCCACAAAGGGGCAGGCAACGCACTTGTAGAAATTCCTTTGGTATTACAAATGTCCATGGGCGGCGCTGATTGCTTACCATCAGGTAATCGGTTTGTTCATTTGCCGACTTACTTAAGTACATACCTTTTGTACTTTAGCACAATTATTCTGTAGTTGGTTTTCTGTTTTGTGTTTATCTCGTGGCAGGTGGTTGTTAGTGGTTAATGTGTAGTGTTTGAGTGTAATGTCGGCAGATGTATATTAGATTACTTGTCTTATTCATGTATTTGGTAACGTATGTCTACCTACGTACCTACAGTATTCACATACAAGTGTACGAAGTGATTAATTATTAAAACGTGAACAAAATATAAGTTTGAAACTGAACAGTGAACCCAATTTCAAAGAAACAAATTTTTTAGACTGACTGCTGTTAGTTCTCGGAAAGATTTTTGCTTGAACTTGTAACGTGGCGTCGCTTGTAGCCACAATTTATTAATAGGTCGCTCGATGAGGTGTGCAATCTGTGTGTATACTCGTACTGGAATTATTTTGCGAACAATAGAAATAATCGCGGTTACCAGTTCAGATGTCTACATACCTAAGTACATTATGAGTAACTTATATTAATAAAACAATTACTAATTTTAATAAATAATATATCTATGCATAAGATTGTGAGTGATGAGTATGTTAAGTACCAATACTCTACAGAACCCGCAAATTAAGGAAATTTATGCAATACCTAATCAACATTGCATCAGCCAGGCAACAAGAACGAAAACGCTGATGCTGCTCAACGTGACACACGTGTAGGCCACCGGACGGCGGCATCAATTTCCACATATTTCCTCACTTTTGTTTCCAACTTCGAACAATTGTCATCTACCATATATTTTAATGTAATATTGTAATAAGTTTAATAAATAGTTGCAATTAATTTCGGTTTTTTTTGCAACTTGCCCGCCGGTCTGACTTAATTGGCGCAGTCGGTAGGATACCCGAAATATATTCGGTACGTGTCGCGTCAAGATTTCCCCTAAAATCGGACCGGAGTCCCGCGCGACTGACCGATTTCGAGTATCCGAATCTACACGTCGAGACCAGCAGCAGCAGGGGTATCCGAGCATCGATACGAGCAGAAAGGCCGAAATGAAACTGTGAGTACACTAAAATCTTTTAGTGGATTGCTCATCCTTTATCTTTTAAGCTATCCTGTCTTTAAACTTTTCCAAGATTTTCCATCCGAGAGAATCCCGGAGTGTTAGGGTAGAGAGTAGGCAGAGTAGTAGAAATAGTGCTTTAGACTTAAATAGAGAGTTAAATTCGAGTTGTGATTTAAGTGAAGATAAAATGGCCCATTTGGACCATATATTTAAGGCTCTTAGACTAGTACCCGAATTTGACGGGAATGTGAATGTTCTAACGAGATTTATTCGGTTGTGTGACGAGTTAATTGACGAGTTTGTAACGAAACTTGAAACCCCGAATAAACTGCATGAGATTGCTCTAATTAACGGAATACTAAATAAGGTAACAGGCCCCGCCGCACGTTTGATTAACTCTAATGGTGTCCCATCAGATTGGTTAGGCATACGTAAAGCTCTTGTCAATAATTTTTCCGACCAACGGGATGAAACCGCTTTATATAACGATCTAGCGCTATTATCCCAAGGGTCCGACAGCCCTCAAGAATTTTACGAGCGTTGTCAGAACATATTTAGCACACTAATGACATATGTTACTCTACATGAAAACTTAGCTACAACTGTCAATGCAAAGCGGGACCTTTACAAGAAGTTAACCCTACAATCGTTTGTACGCGGCCTTAGAGACCCGTTAGGGTCACGTATCCGTTGCATGAGACCTGAAAGTATCGAGAAGGCGTTGGAATATGTTCATGAGGAGCAAAACGTAGTTTATCTACAACAACGTAACAGCCAAATTCCTGATAAAAAATTAACTCAACAAGCCACGTCACATAAACTACCTCATAACCAAAATTCCAATCTTCCGCCACCTAAACCGTTTACATTTAATATGCCGGGACCTTCAAGGCATTCTTTCGGACAGCCGATGATGTCACAAGGACCTCCGCAATGGCGACCTAATTTTAACCATCAGACCCAGCCTGGTCTATCACGCACTCAGCAAATGTTCCGTGCTGCACCTAATAACTATAATCAGAACAATGCATTTAGATTTCCGCCCCGTAACACGGCACCGCAAGGCAACCCGCAACAGCAGCGACCTATGAGTGGTGTTAGCCACTTTGTGTCAAAACCATTGCCACCCACTAACGCTATGAAAGGACATGACTGGTCTAGGTCGGGTAACCCGCCGCCTAGCAACTACTTTAAATCAAGAGAGATGAATTTTAATGATTGTTCCGATTATTACGGCTATGATGATTATTATAGCGGTAGCTATTCTTATTACGAACCTTACAGTGATTATTATGCTGAGAACTATTATTCTGACTATGATCAAGTGTGCTACCAACAACCGGAAATAGCGTATGATGTAGCTACCGAGGACTCTAATGAACCCGCGGGCCCTTCAGGTACAAATAGCGAGGATTTTCAGATGGTTCAAAAATCAGACAAACCAAAATAGAGGTCAACCTTCAAACCCAACGCACACTACCATATCTGCAAATCAAGGACCCCCCTCTAAAGCTTTTGATTGATACAGGCGCTAACGAATCTTTTATTTGTCCTAGTGCATTAGAAACTTATTTCTCTAATGTTGAATTGAAATATGATCCGGTTGAAGTTTGTAATGTGCACGCGGCGACGCGTAGTGACTACTCGATAACTATACCGTGTTTCCCAGAAATAAATGATAAGGACGATGTCACACTATTCGTCTATAAGTTTCACGATTATTTCGATGGGTTGATCGGATCGAATTTATTAGATAAGTGGGAAGCTACTATTGATTTTAAGACTAAATCCTTAATTACTAAAAATGCATCCAACCCCATACAGGTTTATGACTCGCGAAATGCTAATTTATATGAAGGAATAATACCTGCCAATTCTTCCAAATTAGTTAGGTTACCAGTTAATTCTCAAGACGGGGAAGTTATTATTCCAGAGCAGGTTATTTCAAACTGTCATATTAGCGAATGTTTAACTACCGTAAAGAACCATAGGGGCATAGTGGAAGTGAGTAACCCCACTCGAAACGACGTTATATTTTCTATGGACCGCCCGGTGTGTGCGCAACTTTATAATCACGAGTGCAAGCGCACCGAACAAGTGCCCCAGCGCGTAAAGGAAGTACTATCGCGTTTGCGCACTAGTCACTTAAATGAAGAGGAGCGCATTAATTTGGAATTACTATGCTCGCGTTATGCGGACGTATTTTATTTAGAGGGCGAGAACTTAACATTTACTAACCAAATCAAACACTCTATTAAAACAACCGATGAGGTACCTATTCACACTAAAAGTTATCGCTATCCTTTTGTGCATAGGCAAGAAGTCCAAGAACAGATTAGTAAGATGTTAGCTCAAGGAATAATCCGACCATCCGATTCTGCGTGGAGCTCACCTATATGGGTCGTACCCAAAAAGGCTGATGCTTCGGGCAAGACTAAATGGCGAGTAGTGATAGATTTCCGGAAATTAAACGAAAAAACTTTGGATGATAAATATCCTATCCCGAACATTGCAGATATTTTGGACAAATTGGGTAATTGCCAATATTTTACCACGTTAGATTTGGCCAGCGGCTTTTACCAGGTGGAAATGGACCCCAAGGACATTCCCAAAACTGCGTTCACTGTTGAGCATGGCCACTTTGAGTTCTTGAGAATGCCAATGGGTTTAAAGAACAGTCCATCCACTTTCCAAAGGGTCATGGACAATGTGTTAAAAGACCTTCAAAATAACATATGCCTGGTCTATTTAGATGACGTCATCGTTTTCTCCACGTCATTACAGGAACATATGGTCAACCTGGAAAAAGTATTTAACAGATTGCGTGAGTCCAACTTTAAAATCCAGATGGACAAGTCCGAGTTTCTCAAACTCGAGACGGCTTATTTAGGTCATGTGATCAGCAAAGACGGAATAAAGCCTAACCCGGATAAAATATCGGCAATCAAAAATTATCCGCTTCCTAAAACCCCCACTGAGATTAAGAGATTCCTAGGACTTCTTGGCTACTATAGGAAATTTATACCAGATTTTGCGAAGGTCACAAAACCGTTGACTCAGTGTTTAAAAAAAGGTTCGAAAATTACACTAGATCAAAATTATATTCAATGTTTCGAAAAATGTAAGACTCTTTTGGTTAATGATCCTATTCTAAAATACCCGGACTTTACTCAAGAATTTATTCTTACCACGGACGCATCCAATTTGGCCATTGGAGCCGTTTTATCGCAAGGTACTATAGGTTCGGATAAGCCGATTGCCTATGCCTCTCGGACCTTGAATACCAGTGAAATTAATTACAGCACGATCGAGAAGGAGTTACTGGCGATCGTCTGGGCTACAAAATATTTTAGGCCGTATTTGTTCGGTAGAAAATTCAAAATTGTAACGGACCATAGACCCTTGCAGTGGGTTATGAATATCAAAGAACCCAACTCGCGCCTCACA